CAGTGTCGTGCTCCAGCAGTGTTGTGCATGAGGAAAGGAAGAGCAGTGGATGAGTCAGAGTCTATGTTCACAGGATAGTGATGTTTGATTTCTTTTCAGATTCTGATATTAAGTTCTTGTGTACTCTTTAGTAATTTGATTTTTTATTTCAAAAACAGATATTGAAAAACAAAAATCTAATGGTTGACCTAGTTTCATTTTATGCTCCAAAATTGTGAATATGTCCGTCTTTTTATGTTTGTCAAACAAATAAATAATGCTGACATTATCAGACATTTTAAGGTAGAGCTAGATCAATAAGTTTTTAATAACAGTGACTGTAATTTCTTCAACTAACTACCTTTTTGTTAGTCTAGCTAATTTCTTAAAAAAAACTGTTTATCTAGATCCACCTTAAGCAGTCTAATGGTTGCCAACTCAGCCCCTCCAAGACATGGGACAGCTCTGCTGGGGGCGGAGCTCAATGACCTAATGTGTCAGTTATGACGTCACCACACAATATTTTTTTATTTCCCCAACATTTGAGGTGGATCCACCTAAACAAGATTTGACCGAGTTTCTATTATTTGCATGTGAAATGATAGATTTAAAATGATTTACTCAACACAATGTTTTCTTTTCAACTTTTCAGCTACTGATGGCCTCAGTAAACAGAAGGATGAAGAAATGGAAATGTTAACATTTATGTTGTTGTGATTATTAAACTTTTCTAAGCATGTACCACTTCAGAATATCATTGTTCAAGAACAAATTTATTAAAAATATAAAAAATTAAACAATCACAAATCAGCTGTTTTTGTTCATCTGATTCAATACACTTGTAATAAATGATCAAGTTGCAAATACTAAACTTTTAAATCTTTGAAACTTTGGTCAATAAATGCCAAACTGTTCATCATTTAACCAACACAGGGATGCGATGTGCAAGGTGCAGACAAACTGTGCATCTGTCTCATCCGAAGACCAACGTGCACCATGCAATGCACGCACGCACGCACGCACACACGTACACACACACACACACACACACACACACACACACACACACAAAATGTTCCGCTTTTGACTGATTCAAATTACAAAAAGTAAAAAATAAAATAATTGAAATAAACTATCGACAAATATTATTTTACATTTTGCATCAATTATTACATAATGCAGTTTTAGTACACATTCATTATATTTTGAAAACAGATTTTATTACATTATTACACAATGTGGCATTACAAGGTTCTTTCAGTAACTTTGAAGGACCTCAAACAGATTAACCAAACACAAGTTGGCTAACTGAACTCAAGTCACTCTTGTTTATTTTGACGTATCTGTAACTCATCCATCCCGTCTTACTCACATCCAGGAAATACTTCTGCAATGTTGCTCCTTGGGTTTTAGGGTGGTATGCATGTTAGTAGCTTGACCTGTTTTAAACATCTAGACCAGAGGTCTTCAGTCCTGTTCCCTCTGACCCACTGTCATGCATGTTTTATCTGTTTTCCTGCTTCAGCACACCTCAAATAAGTATATTAGCTACCCAGAATACCATCAAGTTTAGCAGAAATCTGTCAATCACTCATCATCATCAGTCAGGTGTGTTGAAGCAGGAATGCAGGGCAGTGGGTCATGTGCACCTGGGCTGAAGACCTCTGGTCTAGACAGAAATTTGGTTCCTTGCTTTGTCTGAACTCTTCAAAGAACAAAAGTTGTAAAATATATATTTTCAAAGCTTTAGTAATATTAGTGGAATTGCTTCAAGAAAATGTTTTGAAGTAGATGACCATTAAAATAAAGTGATTACAAGACACTGACCTGGACCCAGAGTCCTCAGAAAGTCAGTAAAGTCTGGTGGGAACATTCTGGAACTTTCATTCTGGAGCTTTTTCTTTGACTTATTAGCACTGGGTGCTCATGTGTTTTTATTGAACAGTTTGACAGTTTGTAAGTTTTCCCAACAGGAAGAACAGAATATTTGATCTACTTCTTGCTAATGTAAGGGAGGAATAAAACGGGTCTCCAGCCCTCTCCCTATCAGTAACATGACTGAAGCAGAAACTCAGAAGAACACTTAGTTTTGTCAGGAAAACTTAAACACCGTAATAACTAAATGAATGTTTATGTTTTTAATTTTCTCAACATAATACTGTTATTTTAACAGCTCAACATTTTGTTGGATCAGTTTTCAACAATATAAAAGCCTTTCTAGCTTTTAGATGTGATATGTTCAGGGGCGATTCTCTGACATTTAGGGGTGCTTAGCCTCCAGCAAAGCTGAGACCCAAAGGAAGATATATTTGTTGATGCAATCTTCTAAACCTAACTTCTTATTTACATGTATTCACATACAGAATCAAACAGTTTTGACCAACTAAAACAGTTAACAACTACATATTAAATTTAAAACAGAATGCCAGAAGCCTACATGAAATGTGCCAACATCTGCTAACATCAATGAGACACATTTATGTTAACAAACATCTGTGGAGTGGACCAATTCTAGGGGGTTTTGGGGGCATGCCCCCCTGGAAGGTTTTTTTTAATGAACTCAAAATATACACAATCACAATTCCATACAATTTTGATTCAATTTCAATTTGATTCAATATTTCTATGAATGGTTTAATATCAATGTCCTAATAACGACACAAATAATTCATCAGAATCCCTGTGGATCAATTTAAAACATGTATATTGTAAATGTATATTATACATTTTGTGGTTAGCTTGTTTTTTAAACTCAACACAAACTTATTCAAACAACTCTGTGTAAAATTGAAAATTGAAGATTTTCATTTATCGGAAAATAATCTTAGGGAGAAAACTTTCCTTTTAGGAGGCGGAAGGAAACGGAGATGTCAAACATAAACGTAGACACACCTTGGCTGTAGTTTTGGTCATACAAATTTATATCTTTCGGTCTTAATATTTTTATCCAAGGACAAGAGTCCCTGATAAATCATTTCACTCTACTAATATATATATATATGTGTGTGTGTGTGTGTGTGTGTGTGT